ACATTTTAGTGCCGACACATTCGCAGCATGGTTTTCTCAATAAGCGATTGTGCATCACCTGTCAATTGCATTACCTTACTCACATTTCAGAATCAATCGAATCCAATTATGAAGTATTAATCTTGTTTCTTGACATACACCAAGCGTTCGACCGCGTACCGCACAATCGACTGTTACAAAAGTTGGAGAACCTTGGGATCCGGGACCCATTAGTAACTTGGCTCACGTCATACTTGATTGATCGTCATCAGGTAGTCACATTAGGTGATTATCGCTCTTCCCCACGCGCGATCACCAGTGGAGTGATTTAAGGGATCGTGCTCGGTCCATTATTTGTTTAGCCCCACAGTAATGACATCATCACATCTTTAATACCCGGTACATTATTTTTATTTTCTGACGACACCAAAAGTGTCTATAAGCGTCAGCGTAACGAGCTTCATGGGACGATACTGCTCATTCAAGATGATTTACATTCCTTTGAGTCATGATGCTGAAAAGGGCTGACGAACCTCTTATCCAAGAATCAAACGTAAGATCAGAAACTATAAAAACTTCAGGTGGTAATAAAGCGATAGTTACCCTTCGTCTTCCACATCGCTGTCGACGTTTTCGCAAAGTACCATCTGATTTTAGAACTAGGTTGCAGAAAACTCTACGACAGTTTCCGATTAAGAAATAATACTCAGATAAAATGTTAGAAATATAAGGCAACAATCAAGCTTGTATTCAGTGGATAATCGTTAGGCTAATTTGACCAAAACTACATAGATTAAAAATATACACGTCAAACATATGTGTCAGTAAAACCAACTATCTCGTAATAAGCATGTGTGATTAGCCCGCCCTCTGTGTCACCATACTTACCGTCCCGGGTACTTTTGCCTTGCTCAGCTCACTCGGCCTCCGAATGTCAGTAAATTACTTCATCAGTTTCATGCGTTATATCAGTTGACCGACGAATTTTCAGACCAAAACCATCAGATTGTGCAACACATCCTTATCACCGGACCTATAGTTGCTTATTTACCTCGAAAGTTAGCTCCTGACAAACTTGATACAGCTGCGGCTGAGTTTCAGCAAATGTACTGGTGTCATTATCATCCCACAGCCCAGTAGCTCATGGCCTTTGCCAATTCACATCGTCTCCAAAACGTTAATCAGGGACTGGCGATTAATTGGAGACAACCGCGCCTGTCGATTGTTCGTCCATTCGACTTAAGCTCTAGATGCCATTCGGTAGCATTTTTACATTCTACCTTTACAGTTGTACTTTCTTATTCCCTTTCGCATCGTTTATTCTACTTTTAGTTTTAAGCAAAGCAATGGGTCCACACTACTATGGATTCGGCTCCACGTCGTCCCAATCTGCTACGTCTGTCTTCACGGTGATTGCTTAATGCTGTGATTTTCGCCCAAGCGGCTAGGGATTAACAGCTTTCTCGCTCCTTGATATTCATGGGATAGTATTGCTCATTTGGGAATTACTCGATGTCGGAAGCTTAACTAGAGTCAGTGATTGTTTTTCCATAACCGGCAGAGTTTTGCCGAAAACACTTTTTGTAGTGTTAGCTTGTTCTCCACACATGTGGGGTGTATCGCCTTCAGATGAACCCGGATGCAAAACCCGTTGCTATTGATCAACCTCCGCTAGCCAAACTTCAAGTGGTCTCAGCGGCCCTGCAAAAGACGCTAGCAAGTGATCTGATTGAAATCATAGGCTAGTCCAAGTGGGTTGCAAGTATAGTGTTATGAAGTAAGATGGAACCGTCATGCATTTAACTATATGCAAAGCTAAATAAACAGATCGTCGTAGAGAGATTCGATTTTCTATTCAATGTGGGACTCTGTACATCATATTTGCCACTGGCCAAAGACTCCAAATAAGTAACTTCCTTCCTTGCTTCTAAAGGCTGATTACAGGGCGAAGTTTTACCTCTGTCTGAATCCAGCACCCGCTGCCCGACAATAGTTTGACACAAGCTCTCGCATGTGTTAACTGATATGTTGCACACCTGGATGATAAGTATGTCCTCGGCAGCATGCAGGAAGAACATCACATGCATTTACATAAAATCCTTCATCGTCTGTGTGAGTTACATCTTTTCTTAAACAGGAAAACATGCTTACTTAACGCCTCTGAGATACAAAGTCCAGGAGACATTATTTCGCGTAGCGGCATTCGCACAATTAACGAAAATGTCCGTGTCACAGGTGATGCGCAGATACACACAGGCGCGAAACGGAATTAAAGTCTTTTCTTAGCATGTGGTCCTACATTCGTGAATTTGCAACCGTGATAAATCCACTATGTGGATTGACCAACAGAGGCCATATTTTGATTGAGGTGGTGATCAATAAACTTCTTTCCAGGAACTGAAAAGACGAATTTCCTCTACCACACGGGTTACCGTGTTTGACGAGTCCTGGCATATCTTTTGTAATCTGACGCCTTCACTGTCTGTCTACGTGCTGTTCTTTTAAATTTGCAAGGCGGTGAGGAGTCATTGCTTATGCTACGCGAATTTGCCAGACTCAAAACTTTAGTACTCCGTCGGAGTGAGGAGTGAGTCGCTTGTGTGTCAGATTAGGATAAATGGCATTTTACCTCATTGACCGCCGATTGATTTTACTAATTGATCACTTCGACCTCACCAGCTCTCTCAAGAAGGTGCTTAAAAGCTAAGCTCGATGGGGATAAACTGATGGTGCGCCAGACTTCGTTAATTTTGAATTGCAAATCATTTACTGCGCAGCATCGACTGATCAGATTGAGGATGTATTATCGCCCTACCTTTGAAGTGGACGAAGAAAAAACCCACTCAGAGCCTGCACTGGTGTCAAGCCTTGGATCCAAGTATTGAAGTACAAACCGAAACTGCCAATGTTACGAAGCTGCAGTAGCTAGCAGCTTATGGTAAGGAATGATGGCCAAGCATTAACAAATTTTCTAGTGATTTCGCTCCGTATTGCGCAATTAGTTGTCTAATGAGAGGCATGATGATTGACCAAATTATTGCATCCGCCCATAAGAAACATTCGACTATTGTCCGAAACCAAAATAGAGAACCACTTCACTTTAGATAACCGTGGAAGGCAGCAAGTAAGATAGCATTTGTGAGATCTTGTCTGGCTTGCCGGTTAGTGGTAAACTCCCCCACCTTTTGAGGCCCCCTTACAGCCGATACCATACCCCATTGGGACGTGAGTCCAAAATGCCAGTGATGCTAATGGACCCTTCGTAAATACTTTAGTGAACAAGATAAACTTACTTATTGAAAGCTATTTTTACAGCAGATGGCCTAGAGCTCATCCGTAAACATGTGAGTTCTTTTGTAGTATCGCGCTGTCTCATGCATCTCTTCAGTGACTTCGTGTTACCGGAAAAGGTAGTCACATGAAATGCTCCCCAATTCTGTGGTTACCATGTTGAATCATTTCTACAACGTCATACTGCAAAACGTACCCCGGCTGCACCCAACATTCCCACGGCTACTTGCATAGTGGAGCGATTTAACCCGTCTCTCAGGCGATCCAGGCCATTCAAATATGATAGGTCAGAAGAAGCTGCCTTAACGACGCCGCTATCATACGGAACAAGTAAAGGTATAAGCACAAGGACGACGTATACGGAACTAATGCTCTGAAGGCCATTACGCACAAAATTTAGAACGAAACACAGTATGTCATTCTTATTTGGCCGTTCATATCGGATTTGCCAGTTTCCATAGTAAAAAGTTCACCTGGGGCATCATTATTTATCCCTGTTGCATGCTAACCTTGTCATTCAATTGTCAACCCTGCTAGCGGGCACTTCATGCTCTGTCGTTTACTGCATTTGTGGAGAATACAGCGATGTTCTAACTCCCTCTGTTGGTTTCGTTGTGCAATCGCATACATGCGTGAGATCGCGCCTCTGTCCTACCGGTCAGGCTTGCATATTACTGCCTACTGTACACAGCAATGCGTTGGATATCAGAGGAACAGTGTAACAACCAAGATAAAGCGAGTAGTTCACAAAGTATCAACTAGCATGACAATATTGCTTGCGATTTTGTGTCATGCACGCTTATTTCGGCAACTATTCCGACACCCCACCATTCGCAACGTAAGGAAAGCCTGATAAACTTTATCAGCAAGTTAACATTCAATTATAATTTCACAATGTTGTTTCTCCTTCCTCTCCCTAAGAGTCTCATTGTGATTCATGGGTTTCTGTTCGAGCAAGCTATCCGGCTGTTACTGTTTCCTACCGAACCCTGGATATTGGACATGAACACGAGCTGACATATGTTTCGGCAACCAAGTGTTCTCACCATCTTGCTATTAACTATTTAGAGCACCTGAAGGTCAACGCTTACCAACAAGGAAGAACAGATTTGATGTATTTCAAATCCGACACTTGATGTAACTTCCAATTAGTGGGATAAATAACGAGATAAGAAGAATCATTAAACACAAACTAGCAGATGAACCCAAGGTTACATAACATCGTTACTGTGTTCGGTTTTGTCGCTTTCATCTAAAGCATAAGGTGTGCAGATGAATCGCATTTTCAACCAGTACAGTTTGGTGCTGTGGTCATGTTTTGTGCTTAATCTACTTTGTATACACTCTACTTCAGATTTAGTACAACCTGGTTTACTTCAACTACACACGGTTCACATCTAGCCAATTCGCCTTATGTTTAAAATATCTTGTTATTGGACAGATAGTATACTCTCCTCTGTAATAATTACGATTTGTTTGCGGTATCCACAATTGTTATTTGAAATTTGCTGCCTGTGAGAGAGTCACATGATAAATAAATGCGCTGGGCCCGCTTTATACTGATCGGATAATAGATAATGGCTTGCGTGCAGATCATCGTATCTTTGAGTTAATTTAAAGTCGGCGATACACTATCCGTTTTTCGGATTTGTTTATATATCCAATGTTTATAAGCGCACCTGCATACATGATCGAAGGTGATTGAATATCCAGCTCTGAATGATTTACCGTTAGTGTTTACCTCACCTTGTGCATATAAAAGCGCAGGGTTTCGGTGGTGAAAATATGTTCTATTTGCTCCTACCTTGGTAAGTCTTTACTCTGTAGCATGCGCTAATTTCTTTTCGTGGATGTATGCAGGCAATAATTATATGTAAATGTTTGCTATATATATATAGATATAAAAACTGATACAACACCCAGGGGTAGACTTCAGTCTAAAAGTTAGCGAACAAGATCCTTTTCAATGGTTCCTCATCAGATTTGGGACCCGGAAAGTTTTCTTATGAGCAGAGAGGTCTGGGTTATGGAAGGGAATGGTGATCGCTTCTGCCGCGGCCGTTAGGTGACGTCTAACCGCTCGTGTGTGATATGTGGGTACGCGGTAGATAGAATGGAATGTTTCGTGAACTTTACATGGTGGTTCGAATCAAACGAATGCGCAGACACTGCGCTTGCACCCTGCCCCTTATAACGATGAAACTTACGTGAATATAACTACACACCTCACCGATCGCTGTGGTGCCATTCACCTAGCTTGGTCGCTCAGACAATTTTAACCTCTGAACTTGTACCACTATCTGTCGTTTACGTTTATGCCATTCATTCGGAGTGCATTGGCCTGATGACACACCTCTGAAAACGAGCTACTTCGCTAAGATTTGTTCTGAATGAAAAAATTTTCGCAACCGTTACGTTCAGTAAAACGGCCGCTTAAAATACTCGGGAATCCTTGGATGCCCAATGGAGGAATTGCTTTTCTCAAATCTTTGCCCTAGAATCCTTGGCCAATATGAATGCAGCTGTAGCCACAGTGAGCAAGTAACTATTCCTGAAAAACCGTGGCATGTATTCCTGGCTGTCATTTCGTAGCTGACTTGCAAAGCCCTTGAAACACCAATTGCTTTAATGGGTTTTCATCATCTTAGTATATTTCAACCTGGTAAGTGAAGGTACAAATTTTGTTATAAGATAAAGAGCTCGATTGGATTTCTCAAGAGATTCGATCGTTCATACTCAGTGTGAACAACTGTTCTGGATGCGCTTACTTCTACATGCTTTTGGTGCACGATCTGCCGATCACTTCTTATGAACCTGGCCTTATTGTTTTCGTGCATGCAGACCTCGGTTGTTCCAGACATAGTGAATCCGCCTCGAAAAATTGGAACAAGCTCGTTGGCCTTTGTAGATGGCGTTCAGGAGTTTGAATTCATCCATCTTCTTACTAGTGCAGTATGTCTGTGTGCTTTCCCACGTCGAATACTCTATCCAGGTTTGACAAACTTGAATTAAGCTTGATGTCGCAGCGCTCGAGACACCACAACGTTGAGCAGTGATAAAGTCAAGACGTGTCCAACCAGGAACTTGTGACGAAACTCATCATCATCATCATCATACATGTCAGCTAGAGAAGGTAAAACACCTCCGCTATTGTACCGCAATACATAAAAAAATACATACATACATACATACAATACATAAAGGAAAAATAAATACGACAGTTGAATGCCAGCTGAGCTACCAGCAACGGATAGGCATCGTTCCGGTAAGCTACCAGCCAGCTACTAGGCAAAAACAAAAATTTAATTACGTTTTACTCTACGAGATAAGATCGTAGATGGAGGGGGAGGCTAAAGGGATGGGGAGGTACAAAGAAACTCACAGCAGGAACGCCACTGAGGTCGGCTCCTTGCCATATCAGCAAGTATATCCAGCCAAACGTGTTCACCGTCTTTTGGACCCCAACCAGGGAGCCGTGAAGCTCCAACTGAGGCCAGCTCCGAAGTGAGGGCCTTCATTCCTCTGGACCAAGTCATCGCTTGGCCACCTCTCCTCTTCTTCCACCCACATCCCCGCTGAGCAAACAACACACTTTGAGTGAGTCGGTGGGCTGTCATGCGCAATACGTGGCCCAGCCATTGGAGCCTGGTGCAGTAAATAACGGTGCTGAGCGGTTCATTCCCTTTTCCTAGGCCGTAAACAAGGCGTCGAACACGCTCGTTACTCACGCGGTTTTCCCACCATATGTGAACCAAACTGCGAAGGCACCGATGGTCGAACGTAAGTAGCCTCTTCATGTCCGCCGATCTTAGGGGCCAGGTTTCGTAACCGTACAGTAAGGTCGAACGTACCGGTGCATTGTACACTCTACCCTTCAGGGCGAGAGTAATGTCGCGCCGTCGCCATAGGTGGCGAAGGTAGGCAAAAGCACTTCGAGCTTTCGCTATGCGGTTTGTGATCTCGTCTTCGATCCCCAGGGCGCTGATACAACTTCCCAGGTAACTGAAGTTCTGAACGACTTCTAGCTGATCCCCACCAAGGGTCAGCACAGGGGGCGAACCCTGCCAAGCCTGGAGGAACGCTTTGCACTTCGGTGGTGCAAAGCAAAGCCCGAAGCGACTGACAGCCAGTGCTAATCTGCCCAGCGCGGCTTGGCACGTCTGGGAGCTGTCACAGATGAGGGCAATGTCGTCTGCGTACTCCAAGTCAAGAAGTCGTTCTCCTGGGAGTAGCTCCACACCTTTTAAGTCATGTCCTGTAAATGCAATCTCCATGACTTCGTCAATAGCGAAGTTGAATAGGAAAGGTGACAGCGGGCATCCTTGTCTCACACCGCTGGATATATTGAAGGGTGGCGACAGCCCTCACTCTGCCCGTGCTACGCGCATGTAATGCTTGGATAATATTTACATATTTCTCGGGCACACCTTTCCTGAGTAGACAATTCCAAAGGGCACATCGATCAACCGAATCGAAGGCACCTTTGATGTCGAGGAACACGATTACGGTGGGCCGCCAATATGTGTGACGGTGCTCCAACAACTGACTGACGGTGCTCCAACAACTGAAGAAGAAACTCGATGTTAATTGGACCCTACCGACGGTTATTTGCGAGTTTATATTGGTCTACCTGGTGTTAAAAATCCGATCACATCTGCCGTCGCCTTCTGGAGCTCACTCCAAGCGGCAACATAATAGGTGACAGTTTAAATTGTCAACGCTACGGTCTTCAAGATTGTCGATGGTTTTATTTTCCTATCCGAGTCTGCCAACATTGGAAAATTCTTACAGACGCAGCTGCTTGTACCTCAACCTTATGCAATAAAATAACGCATTGATGTCGCTCTCAGCTCCCTACGTTTTGTTCTTTGAAAGGATAAACTCAAAAATTCCGGTTCACTAGCTTTTTTGAAATTTCAATCCTCAATAACTCACGTACATCGGAGAAGTCAGGTGAACAATTATCGGGTATCTCACACTTCTCGTTAAACGTAACAATCCGTTATTCCGTTTTGAAATGTTATCACTCTCTATTAAGTCCGCTTATAATATGTCACTTCCCTCGCTCTATACCGACGCATACTTAATTTTGTTACCTAGTCCACAACTACTTCATTTACCAACTTACCGGACCCGGTAAAACTACGCTACCTTTACTCAGCGTAAACAGTTATTCTATTGTTTGCTTGTTTTATTAGCCAGTTAGTGCAACTTGCGCCAAAGCCCTGGACGGCCGTTTTTGCTTTTTGGGCAGGTCTATAACCCCCTGAAAAACTAGGGCCGTCCTTGGTAAATAATCCAATTTCTTTTTCTCACAAATTTAGTATGACTGCTGAGTTATAGAATATACTATTCATTGCTCTAGTTGATATTCGGTGTGCATATGCGTAGCCATGCCACACTTCCCCTTTCAGTGGGTGTGGAATTGCACAAGTAACGGCTTAGTCAGGAAGTAGAAAGTGGTGAATGTCCTGCAGTACAACACCAGTATGCAGCAGTGTTATGCATGCTCAACCTAATCGCCCTTCCTACCTGCATAGAGGTAAACGCGTGTAACAACACCTTAGGGTTCTGTCCACACCCGAATGGGCTACAGCTTGTGGCGGGCGAATGGCGGTATCCCTTGAGTATATGAGTAGGCTTCAGCTCAATTAAATGTAGTAGTACGGCCATGAAACATCAGAAGAGGCAATGGACGGCCGTCTCTACCAGCCAATAAGCAGTAGAGTCTCATCCTCAAATGCCTATATAAATGAGACTGAACAATAGCATTTTGTACAAACATGATACGGTGGTCTTGTAATATAATTCAGGTAATAGGAAAGCGTTTTGAAGGCTGAAGCATGGTTTATTGCTATCGCTTTATATCACTTAGGAAATTAGTTACATTCAGTGCTTCATGAGTAGTCTACTGAGGGTCATAAATCGCGATAACTATAGATCAATTCGTCCAGTGACACACCATGGACAATGCTCTTGTAAGAATGTACAAGTGACAGAGCAATTCTGGCCCAAATGTGTTAGATGACGCAGCTAATTTGTCACCCGCCCCTAGGAATACTAGTTAAGTACAGCATGGTAGTTTTGACTTTATTTATACCTGGGAATTTTTTCTCGTCCGGTAAATAAAACAAAATACCAGTTAGTTTGGAAGGAAAGGGCCGACAAATATCAAGCTGTCCAATAATGGTGGTTTTGTCGTGGCTTGCCTCCACAGGCTGATGATTATACCCAGCAGTCAAGGAAGTTTGAGGTAAGTATATGGGCGCTTACTCATAAGACATCCTAATTCATAAATGCCTCCGTAAGTCCGTAAAAGCAATGAATGGACGTTTCTACCTGTTAGGTATTGAGAGTCGCGAGCTTCGATCCTATCCACAAATTGCGTAACCATGACCACTAGGGGACCTTAGGGCTTATTCATGTGCGTAGGCCAATAATACGCTTAGGAATGCAGCGAACCACAATCGTTCGCAAGATAATTACGAAACTTTTATGACAGACGCTTTGCCCAGACATTATCGTCAGTTATGTACAGCGTGGCACTTTTCAGCTGTTAAAGCGAATATTTTGATCTAATTAATTAGAGAATGTTACATGTCTATTAGTCGCTTTAAATTTCGAAGTCACCTTCACAAACATGCACCAATGCAACCTCAGCTAACATCGAAGTTGCACTTTGAATAAACAACCGCCGGTTATTTGGAGTGCTTTCCTTGAATTTCGCTTTATATTTAAAGGGGTTCTGAACTGTTTGCATAGATTAATGTCAGCCAAGTTTTGGCAAAATTGACCTATCGTCTATTTG